TTTAAATTTACAAAATAAACATTTTTCCCACACAATCTTAGCCACCACTTTTCACCCCCTTAGGGGTTGAATTTCGGAAAATGCTTAATTACGTGTTCCACTATGCATTAATACTAAATTCCATGTCAAAAATTTATAATAGAAATAATTTTCCAATCTAAAGTTAGCCACCACTTTTCACCCCCTTAGGGATTGAATCTCGGAAAATGTTCAAATACCTGTTTAATTACTTGTGTTGAAGAGCATTATTACCAAGTTTCACGTAAAAATGTAAATATACAATAAAAATATTTTCCCATTCAAACTTAGCCTCGACATTTCACCCCCTTAGGGGTTGAATTTTAGAGAATGCTGAAACACCAGTTTCATTATTTGTGTTAAAGAACATTAATACCAAGTTTCACGTAAAAATTTCAATTTATAGTTGAAATATTGTTCCTATTAGCTTAGCCGCCCAAATTTAGATACCACTTTTCACCCCTTTTGGGTAGAATTTCCGAAAATGCTTAAATACGTGTTTCGTTGTTAGTGTTGAAGAGCATTAATACCAAGTTTTAAATAATCATCACCTCAAAATTTACAATAGAAATATTTTTCGCATACAAAATTAGCCACCACTTTTCACCCCCTTAGGGGTTGAATCTCGGAAAATGCTTATTAAACACGTGTTTCATTATTTGTGTTTAAAAGCACCAATCCCAAGTTTCACGTGAAAATTTAATTTTACAATGGAAATATTTTTCCCGCACAAAGTTAGCCAGTACTTTTCACCCCCTTAGGTGTTGAATTTCGGAAAATGTTTAAATACGTGTTTCATTATTATTTGTGTCGAAAAGCATTAATACCAAGTTTCACGTAAAAATTTAAATATACATACAATAGAAATATTTTCCCATACAAACTTAGCCTCTACATTTCACCCTCTTAGGGGTTGAATTTTAGAAAATGCTTAAAGACGGGTTTCATTATTTGTGTTGAAGAACATTAATATCAAGTTTCACGTAAAAACTTCAATTTACAGTAGAAATATTGTTCCAATACAAACTTAGCCGTCCAAACTTAAATATCACTTTTCACCCCCTTAGGGGTCGAATCTCCGAAAATGCTTAAATACGTATTTCCTTATTTGTATTGAAGAGAATTCAATTGTACCAGGTTTCACGTAACGATCTAAATGTAGAGTAGATATACTGGTCCTAAACAAATTTTATCACCCCTTTTTAACCCTCTTAGGGGATGAATTTCGAGAAATCCCTTCTTAAACGATGCCTCCAGTATAAAATGAACATTCTCTCCAAATTTCAACTTTCTATCATTAGCGGTTTGGTTGATAGGTCAATCGGGATATTGCCTTTTATATATAAAGATATACCTATATTTCTTTTTTGAGTTTTATATTATAGTATATATGTATTTCTCTTTTCTTTGAGTTATATTTTCGCATTTCCTGTTTTAAAATTAAGTTGATTTGTCCTGTAATTGGTGTTGTAAACACTGTTGGGCATATATAAATATTATTATTATCATTGTTATTGTAAATTTTTGACGTGGAATTTAGTATTAATGCAGAATGCAACACCTATTTACGCATTTTCCAAGATTCAACCCCTAAGGGAGTGAAATGTGGAGGCTAACGGGCCACTTTCAAGTTGGATTTACAATTTCGCAAGTCCCCGTTGCCATAGAAGATGCGATGACAGCAGTCGCGATGACGAATCATATCGCGAATTGCAACAACTGTCATCCATAGCAACGGCACTTGCGATTTCGCAAATCCAACTTGAAATTACCCCTTAAGTTTGTATGGGAAAAATATTTCTATTGTAAATTTAAATTTTTACGTGAAACTTGATATTAATGCTCTTCAATACAAATAAGGAAACACGTGTTTAAGCATTTTCCGAGATTCAACACCTAAGGGGGTGAAAAGTTATTGCAAAATTTGTATGGGAAAATATTTCTACTGTAAAGTTAAATTTTTACGGGCAATTTGGTATTAATACTCTTCAACACAAATAATGAAACACAGAAAGTATTTCAGATTGTTTCGAGATTCCACCCCTAAGAAGATGAAAGGGGATGACAATGTTTTTATGAGCAAACATATTTTTATGTCGTTTTTTACTGGAAATTGTATTAATGCCCTTCAACACATTTTCTACTTGAAGGTTGGTAATAATGCGCTTCAACACAACGAATCGTCTACGCGAGCGAACCCGCGGGCGAAAAGCTAGTTAGTTATAAAAGGAATCCATAAAATTTCGGTTTTTTTTTTGAGAAAATTTGTTGCGTCAGAACAAACCTCCAGACAGATTAATAAACCACAAATATAGGAGTATATTATTCTATACAGGGTATCTAAAAAGTGGCGTATTAACTCTCCGCAACGCTGTTAACAATCAACTGGTGAGTCTGGGAAAAATAGTACAAAAATCCTTCTCACATTATGGTGGAGTTATAAAGATTTTAAAATTGGTTCTTTTGCTACGTTTAATAACTAAACAACACATTCATTATCACAATAACTAGTAATAAAACTTTTAGTTAATATGTATTTCTGTCGCCCATGACCACGTTTAATTACCATTTCAGTCAGAATGTATGGTTGTCTTGTTTTTGTAATAATTTGATACAAACGATTACATCGAGTAAGCAGTTAAAAATGTTTCACGTATCAAAAACTGTTAAAGTATTCAAAACCCTACGCTTATAATGTTCGCAGTTAATTTTACGTGTTTTATTTTTGGATAAATTTAAAGGAATCTGGTGTTTTATTACTGGATGAAACTGAAAAAAGCTTTTGAGCTTTTAGTGTTTTGTTTTTTATGAATTTGAAAATCGTAGATTCTTGAGTACCCAAGGTGTATTACTTTGGAAGATCACGAAGATTTTTTTGTAAATTATTTAAAACAATTTTGGTGGACTTTGGTGTTCTATTTTTGGAAAATTCTGACCTGACCTGTTTTTGAGTTAATTTTGGGACCCCGATTTTTTTTTTCTTGTTGAAAAATTTAAAACAATCTTGAGGTTGTAGGTATTCCTGCTTGGAAAGAATTTGGAAGTGCTTTGGAGCCTCTACTGTCTTTTCTTATAATAATTTAATTAAATTTCTTACAAGATACGTCATTTGCAAAAATCAGTCTTATCTTAGCAGGTACTAGCCCCGCCCACCCGCCCTCCCTCTCTTTTCTTAGAGGGTGTTTCATTTACCAAAATCGTTCTTATTTTAGCAGCTACTAGCTCTTTCCACCCATCCACTCTTTTTTTAAAAGGTATGTCATTTGCCAAAATCAGTTTTATCTTAGCAAGTACTATCCCCGCCCACCCACCCTCTCTCTCTCTGAGAGGGTATCTCACTTGCCAAAATCAGTCTTATCTTGGCAGCTACTAGCCCCGCCCACCCATCCTCTCTTTTCTTAGGGGGTATGTCATTTGCCAAAATCAATTTTATCTTATCTGGTACTAGCCCCGCCCACCCGCCCTCTCTCTCTTAGAAGGTATCTCAGTTGCCAAAATCGGTCTTATTTTGACAGCTACTAGTGCCGCCCACTCACCCTCTCTTTTCTTAGAGGGTAAGTCATTGCCAAAATCAGTTTTATGTTAGCAAGTATGACTAACTTTTACAAAAACTGACAAAAATTTGGAAACATTACGAGCTTACTTATATGCACAAGGCAGGAATTTTGAACATCTTCTCTAGTGTTTATTTGGTTATGCTTTAATGAATTTTTCTTTTGTTGGTTTTGTTTTTGTTTATAAGTTATAAATGGCTATTAGATATTTTTTTTGGTTTATTTGTTAATGAAAAATAACAGCTTGTTTCATCAATAATAATGCACAACGATTAATGACTACTGGTTGTTATGGTCATTGCTCTAAAAAAATAAAAGGTGGATATCAGTCACCATGCTTGCAGTGTTGCCAATTTTACTTTTATAAAATTAAGTTTTTTTCGTAATCTACATCATAAAGAATTTTTTTTGTCATTTTTTTTGGGACTCTCGGAACTTCCGTCCATAACGTATTGAAGAGTTAATCTACCATTTTTCAGACACCCGGTATAATATTAACAATATCTATATTATACAATTTAAATCCTATTTACTACGAAAAATTTTGAGGGGATGTCTTCACATTGTTAGTGGAGACCATTTGACCACTTTTGGTTAGAATTTTACCGTCTCCACGATACTCCTAAAATACAAATAAAATCTGAAGATAATCGGTCCAGTAGTTTTGGAGACTATTTATCTAGTAAAAATCGACACAGACAGATGAAAACGGGAGATCTCTATTTTTGTACCCGTGACGTCATGAGACATTGAGAAAACATGAAAATAGCCATTCGGCGGACGGACTCCATTACAATACTTTCTTGGCTTACAGTCGGGAGGTAAAATATAAATATTATAAACTTAATTATAGCGTTAAGAAAAAAATTGGCACATGAGGAGATCGAACTCGCGACCGTCGCGTTATTATCAGCCGCTCAATGAATTTAGTTATGGCCGGTCTACTTATATTACTATCAAAACATTATTATTCAATTTCATTTTTATTTCTTTTTAAATCTAGATGCCTGAATTTAAGGCGGAAGGCGAATTCATAAACAACAAATACATATGCAAGTAATATCTAACGCATTCCCTCTAACTAGAACTTAATAATGAAACAGAAGTGACTACACTCGTTTCTTCAATTCCATCGAAATAAAATCAAAAACAGCTTTACATTTTATACGTACCTCAACACACTAATGGGTCAAAAACCTACCCACAACATTTTAAATCATTTTAAAAACTATTATCTCTTCCTCGTCGATTTATACCACTCTACCAAATCTTGTTAAAAGCTCATAAACTATCCGATAAATATTTATCGCAAAGCATAGCAAAACAAAATCCGCGAATTATGGAATAATGCGTTACCGGTATGACGTAACGGCTAACAAATACGCAGCAACACCGAAATAAAACATAAATAATAATAAAATTACTCACTTTTCGTGGGTGTAGGTGGTATAGCAGGTTTCTGAATTCCTCCACAAGGTCTTCCTATACGTGATGGTGGTCTGATCCCTGATTGTCTGGACGCCACTGATTTAGATGAGGCACTACTGACACCACTCGATGGTGAAATGTCCGATGTTTCGTCTTTAGGCACATTTGTATTTTGATTCACTTCTACATTGTTATTAGGATTGTCACTTGGTGTTGCGTTGTTGTTATCGAGAACCTCAGTTTGGGTGGATTCACTCATACTTTCACTTGGTGTTAAAAATAGTTTCGAGAATTACAATTGACGAAAGTTCAAGTTCAGAAGGCTGCTAAAATATCAATGAGAATGGTCGCCAATATGGAGTTTTTCGGGATGAAGAAACACCAGGTGTAAGGGTTTTTTTTTAATGGAAAGTGCGTTATTGTTACGCTGAATACATTCTCTTGAAATGTGGTCGGGATTTCCGGATTTGGGGACACCTGGCTTCTACAACAATTATTATTATTAATGAATTGCTGATTGACATTTATTAGAATATATAATTTTTTGTATTTATGAATATTCATCAGCTTTCAACAGAGTGTAGGTGAAAATGGATCATTTTGCGCGTAGTGTGAAAACTGTATAGAGAAATAAGGGTTGACACGAAAAAGACCAGTTAAATACTGAAGCAATATAAAATGTTCGTGCTATGGTGTTCTAAATAACCAAATATATGTATCTATTTTTCATAATCATTATCGATAAGACCGCAAAAGCGATACATGAAATGTCACTTGCTCCACAACGAATACAAGTCGCCAAAAGCTGCTTTCTTTTATTTTTATTTTATTTATCTATACAATCATGGCCAAAAATATGAAACAGTTTGAAATTTCCAAAAATTGTTTCAACATAACGATTTTTGTTACTTAACAACGAAATTGTGAAAAAATTTTTTTTTTATGTTATGAGAAAATGAGGCAAAATTTTATTGTCTCATTCATTATTTTTTTTTTAGTTGTCTTGTATCCTGTAATTCTAAAAAAATATGAATGCACTGATAAACCACGAGTAAATTCATATGTTGCACATTAAAAAAATATTCGAACAAATTGTGAGATGACGTCATCACGTACTTGGGGGGGGGGGGGGGGGGAGTAAATAGATAAATTTTGGTTAGGGATATACTAAGCTTACGATAACCTTAAAACCTCAGTCTATAAAGTTTAACAATCAGAATTTAACTGACTTACAATGTTGGTTTAAACATTTAATGTTGTTTTTCTACGCTAGTTAGTTTTATACACGGACTCCTAAAAAAATATGTTCATGAATGTGATTGTTCATTCCACGCAAATCATTAACAAATTTTTGCGCCACACCGTTTCGATATTATTAATGCCCCATCCACGTACTACAAAACTTGTTCGAATTAATGACCGTTAAATTTAACAATTAATTCTGAACATGATTATTATAGAAATCAAAAGCACCATTAAATATCTATGAACATTAAGTTCTTATTCCGTGCTCTCCTCTTACCCCGTCACCCCCTCCGTAATGACAAATTAAACAGCATGTGAACGACTAGAAATAATGCGGAAACTTAAAATTAAAAAGAAATAAAACAATAATAATTACAATGTATGTTTTACGAAATCCTATTGTACTCGATCCCACTTACACGAGCATGAACACAGCAGGAATTTCGATAAATAGTAAATGAATAATAACTTAATAATACTGCAATATGATTTTACAACATTTGAGTTCTTAAAATTCACTATTATAGGAGTCTGGTTGCGATACATCCGGAATTACAGAAGTCGCTATAGTTCACAAATTCGAGATTGCTCAACAAAAAATCCTTACTATTATAGTTCTAGTAATATTAAAAAGCAAAGTGTAACAATTGTTTTACCAAAGAATACAATGTAGTTATGCAACCAACAATACTCGATATTTAGGCGCGTAAATTGCACCTGTATTTTACATTTCAAATATTGCGCGTTCGAATAATTATTACTATCACATTGTTATGCAGTGTTTTATTACACTGTAACAATTTAGTTTATTACGTAAACATAAAGGTCGCACGTACCATGAAACCGTGAAAACAAACACATTTTCTCCTAAAGAAAGTTTGCAAAAAATACCGAATACTACTTAAATCATCACAATTATTCAATTTATTCTAATTAATTTTGATGATGACAACGTGATGGGATTGCAATCCAAAAGAATGCCAATTCGTTTGCGCGATAAACTAGAAATCTGTTACAAAAATACATCACAATCAGCAAAGGTTATGAAATGCGTATTACTATCAGGCATAATTTAAAAAATTTAAAACATCGTATTTGAAACTACTACACATAATTTAAAAATAGATAATTACAACAAGACGGTACACTCACATTATTTCACTACTTTCACATGAAAACACCCAGATTATTAATACAGATCGGTAAAAACACTTGGCCCACATCCAGACAAAATTTAGTTAAAAAGCAAATGTTCCAATAGGTCGGGATAAAAACGCAATTGGTTGAAAATGACAACATAAATAACAGACTCTTTTATGGGTGTAACGCCATAAATCAGAAAGGCAATCAGTGGATGAGTAAGAGCAATCAATTAAATTCCTTAGTACTGAAAAGTGTTGGGAATTGGTGTCACGGACGTGGTTTAGGGCGGCGCTTAAAAAATCAAAAGCTATTCTGGAAATCATGAATTTTAAGTTTTAAGGAAAGCAAGTGAGTCATGTGATGATATAACTTTTCCTGAAGCGTTACAAGAATTCAATTTATGACCTGCGTAATATTTCCACGTTTGTTCGAAATTTTTTAACAAAAAACTTGCACAGACACTACAACAATGACTTTATTTACAATTTCCAAATAAGGTCAGCTACCTGTTGTGAGAACTAACCTCACTTTTTTTAAATAAAAAAATCCATTTGTCTTGTTAAGTACAAAGCCAATATTTACAAGTTTAAAAATACGTAATGTGCGACTGATGTGAATTTATTTTGTGATTTTATCACGCGAATACGCGATGAAAGGGGCAAAATGAGACAACTTTTGTATAAAAGATAAGATGAATTAAATATCGGTTACCGAAATATGGCACTAAATCACATCAAACGGTCACTAATTAACGAACAAAAAACTCTTATATCTTTCACTAAAATCAACAAACAACAATTTTGGAGCACTAATAACAAACACAAACTCAACAATAAAATACAGCTGTTTAGTGACAGCGCCAATTTTTTTACAGTGCTGCCAACTTGGAGAAGTGCAAGTCACAAGTACTCAAGGAGAAAAAAAAGGGGTTTGTTGAATAGTGTAGCAATAAAAATCGAAAGTGCCTGCATTGGCTTTTATTAATAATTAATAGCTAAAATTGACAAAAATAAAAATGTTCATCTGATACCAACCTAAGCAATCGTCAATTTACATTTGATCTGATTTGATTATGCCTCTGACCTCTCACGAAAATTGGGAGAGAGGCAAGAGGAATAATTCAAAATTAGCTGGGTTAACATTTATTTAAAAAATAACAAAATATGTACAAATAGAAAATACACAGCCCATGGGAAACACATTCAACAACTGAAGAATCGCTTCTAATCATGGGCGCATAACAGATCATTTACCTAACTTACCTTCTAACCTAACTTTACAAGAACTTAAAAAAATAGAATTCAAAATATACAATCGCAAACCTGTGTGGCCTGACTACGGATACTGTTGCATGAGGCGGAACTGTTCTAAAATTCGTTCCTACATCATAATGTTAAACTCTAAAATCACCATAACATTATCAGTCGATTTACAACCATGATCATAAGCGATTACTCAGTAAAAGCCTAACTATTGTTAAAACTGTAAACGTTGTTCATGTTGTCAATCCCAAATTAGTTCTAATAAATAAATATACTGGACTTAAATAAAATAAAATAAAATACGAAATACATCAAATAAACAGGAGAATGCATTGAACTATTAGCTTAAAATTTGTATAACTATAAAGCAAAGTTTGTCAAGATTTCCGTTTGCGAATTTTTTCCTGCGCTGCTCTCAACAATGCATCAAAACTACAATCTGGAGCCCTGTTTGGATAGTAAGTATAATCGTCCTCGCGCATATTATCTAAAACACAACACTATATCACAAGTACTAAAATAAAAACAGTCTACTTTACCTAGATCTGAATATGTAGTTTTACAGAAAATTCTTCGTCCCCCAAAACTCAAATCATACTTTGGATACACATGATCATTTCCGTGCTCCAAAGCCTCATAAGCATCTTCTTTGTTAGCAAAAGTAACGAACCCAAAATTGTCCCTAAATAACAAAAATAGTATTAAGCTTCTCACTGAAACAATCAAACAAACATACCCATAATCTCTAAAATGTAAGCTAACATTCGTGATAGGCCCAAACTGTGCAAAACGCCTTCTCAAATCGTCCTTTGTGGTACCGGAAGCGATCCTTCCCACATAAATAACCCTACGTTCCTCTACTTCTCGTAGACGTTCAGCACTACACTGCCTTCCACGTTTTGGAGAAATCGATCGTGATCGAGAGGATCTATACTGACATGTATTTAACCATTCTCGGGATCAATCTCCGTACTACTTACCTAGAAGAAGTCGATAAAGGTGAATCTGAACTACGCGAACTACGAGAGTGGCGGGAAGAGTTTGAACTAGTGCGTCTTCTACAATGAAAAAATGAAGGTTAGTGTGGAATAAAGTCACGATGGTTTATTTTCTAATGAACGTAATTGCTGCTGCTGTAAAAAAAAATTACCTGCTGCGTCCAGAACGAGAACTTCCGCTGGAAGACGAACCAGGACTGCTGCCTCCCTCTATCCTCCTTCTGTATCTACTCTGCACATCATCATCATCATCTAGATTGACCTCATCAAACTCTGTCTGTGAGCCGACACTGCGCGTCTTAGCGGGCACTCGATCTTTCTTTAAATAGTGAATAATCTTATCCTCTCTGACCACTTCTTGATTTTCCGATTTAATATACGTATTAACCCGTGTCTTAGCTTTCGGAATATTTTCAATCAATGATGTGATGAACGAGTTGCTATTAATTTTATCGCTAACTTTCTTCAACAACGGCTTAATTTCCTCAAGCTGCCTAGTCGAAGCTATAATACTCTTGCTACAATTGATACTCGAAATATCGGTGTTCGTGGCGATGCTAACATAAGTTTTTACTTCTAAGTCTGGAGGAGGCACGATTCTCTCAGGAGCAGGAGCCAAAACTACCTGAGGCGGACTCGGAACTGGCGGTTTCGGAGGAGCAACAGTCGCTTCATTCGACTTTGCCGACTTGGCCTGCGTTTTCAATAAATCAGAAGCCATTTTCATCAAGAGCTCGTGGTGCTTAAGACGTTTCAAATTCTCATCTTCAGGCAGCGGCGAGCTGCAATTGCTATTAATCGGCGAATTGCTCTGTGACGCCATGTTAGAGTTAATAAAGCGCCTCTTTTTATACTCTTCTAAGTTAAGTTTCTTCTTCTGATTCGTGCTGTGTATCGTGTTTACTTTAAGTAGAGAGACCATGAGTTTACCATCAGCGGTTTTTACGGTTGGTTGGTTGCGAATCACGGATCGATCGTCCTCCTCAGACTGAAAACCTGAATCTTTTCTCGGTTCTTTCGGATACGGGGAAGCAGCAGCGCAATAATCGTGATCTAATTGCACTTGTTCGTTGGGGGAAGTTTTAGCGATTTTGTTACGGTGTTGAGAGACGGCATCCACTGAACGCACAGCACCTCGTTTCTTATTTGGAATAGGAGGTATCACAGTTATGGTTTTACGTTTGCCGGATTCGTTAATACGTGCAATCAATTCTTGAGGTAGAGCGTCTAGGATTTGCTTATTTTTAACATAAGTTTGTGATTCAGAAGTCGGTGGTTTGGATTTTCCCTCATCTTTGATTTCTTCTTGTTTGATCGAAACCGGTTCGATCTCCATCGGTTCTTCCACTTTTGCGTCTTCCACTTTTGCTTCTTCCACTTTTACTTCTTCCACTACTGGAGGTTCGACTTTTACATCTTCGAATATGTCGATAGGAGTTTGCGGAACTTTCTCGAATATTTCGATAGGATTACGGGGGATTTGATTAACCTCCATTTCTATATTATTTACTAAACTACTGCTAAATCCGAACGAATCGGTTAAGTTTGTGCTAGTTTTGGACAAAATCGGTTTTTCGGAAGCTTCAAATTGTTCCAAAAGACTAAAAGCATCGTTTGCCTCTAAAACGGGTAAACTTGTACCCTCTGATATAGTTTCTACGTCGATTTCATCACTGGTGTCCAACTTATCGTTTTTATCATCGATAATATATCTTTGTGCTTCTTTATCGATTTTTTTTCCGGCAGATTTTACTTTTCTTTTAGCTGGACTTGTGTCTTCTGGTTCGTTTATGTATGTAGCGAGATCAAAGTTACTTAAATCTTTGCCGTCGAGACTAGGACGCTCTTTATATTCGTTTAATTCCAACATAGGATTTGATATCGAATCTTGAGAAAAATTCTCGACACCATCCACCTAAAATTTTAACAGTGATTTTTTGTTCTTGTAATATTAACAAAATGTGCGATGGTTCAAGTATTTTCGGAACGCGAAATTCCGAAAGTATTTACTTTTACACATCAATTGTTTTTCCAATGTTTTGGAGGTCGTGGTTTTATAGCAGAGAAAACCATAACTAACGAGCATTGGATACTTCATACAGCAAAAAAGAAAACCGTTAGGCGGAGACGCAAAGACTTGGCTTCTCGTTATTGTTTTCCAGGTACTTAAAGGGTAACTTTAGGTAACATTTCAAGTAAAAGTTGGTTTAAAGCCGGGCATTGTTAAGTTAGCGGTCAAAACGAGAAATTCAAAGACGGTACTTAAAATTCCATTAGGGATTTGTCCACAGAGAAGTCTTTCTTTGAAAATACTGATAACGGTTTCTGCACACCATGATAAGAAAAATACCAATGGTAATTTGATCCTAACAACTAACATATGCATTTTTCAGTAAATTATTAGAGCCACAGCTGTTTTTTTTTTATTCTGATTTAATTTTGAGTCTGTCCCACTTCTCACAAATTTTTGTTTCGATTGTATTTTCGAACTCGAATTCTAATCTCTTATATACGCGTCTCAACGTTGTTTAAATTTACGTTAAAAAGATTTTTTTTAATCACTTAAACTTAAAAAACACGACAAAAATTACAAATGTTTTGTTCGATGACGATAAAATATCTTGAAGGTTCCTAAGACGTCTACATTCACGAGTTCTGTTTGTAATTGGAACAGGTTGGTATATTTTGCATATTTGTGTTTATTACACTGTAATGGATTTCAAAAATCATCAACGTTTGTCAAGATAAAATAACAGGTAATGTAGCAATTTGTCCTAAAACCCAAGTTCAGGTAAGGTATTTAAAAATCGCATGGAAAAAGCCAAAATGACCAATTTTAAAGTCGTCCAACATGAAAATTAACTTTCTATTTCCAAAAATGCCTCTTAGAAGCCCTTGCTCAAGATTTAATGATGATTTACAAGCCGGTCTGTTTTTGGATTGCTTGTCCGAAAAGATTAAAAGTTTCGGGAATAAGACGTCGATTTTAACTAGAAATTTTGTCTTTCAGGCAAACAACCGCAGATATTAGGGCTGTAAATTATGATTAGCATAATCCTAAGCGATTTATTGGTGGCTTCCAGAAAGTCTCTCTATTTTAAAACCTTTTGGACAAACGTCAAACACCCAACTCTTGTTATAAATGAGTCATATTTTTGCAAATACATAGAACTACAAATCTAAATATTTCTGCATCAAATACAAAATAATTACGTTGAGTATATAACTTCGCTTTATGTTGTTAAATGTATTTTAAGTAAACATTTTCGCAAATTATTTTTTGTTTCTATAAAAAAGGTAAATTCCAGCATGGTTAATCGAGAAATTTACACACATGATATACATAAAATTTCTTCAACGCGTACAAGAAAACACTCCAAACAATAAATTTCAAAATTACTTGGAAAAAAAGTTAATGTGACCGTAAAATCGGGAATGGATTCGAATAAAATTAGGTCAACTTTTTTACTTTTTATAAGTTTCATGTATCTTTGACTAAAGTAACAATGGGTTATTGAAGTACAGAAAATTGTGTTAATCTAGTTTTTTCCTTTAAAAAAATATCAATTAAATTTCTGTTAGAATTTGGGCCATATTAAAGCTAAAGAATTTTTATCGAATTTACTTCAGACATATGTAATAAAAAAGGATTATAGATATTTCGATATGTAACTAAACAAATATTGTCAGACTGGATCACACCGCGATGAGTAATATGTGAGATACAGTGTGGTAAATTGATTTTTACACATGTGATATGAACAGTTCGCGCCAAGTGTTGAACAGCACTAATTTTATTTATAAATCCACAGAATAATTATTTGTCTCACATCGTAAAATGTAGTCAGAGAAACCGATTTCGCTGTGTCGTGAAAAAAATAAATTTACAACATTATCAAGCACAACACAAAGATGTGACTGAGATTGTGTGTAAACACGTTCAATAAACATTTTAATAATCTTGATACTGTTACTGAAAAACGAAAAATAAAAATGCTTTCAACGATGCAGCTTTCAATTTTTTCACGCATTTAACAGACAAATCATGGAAATACGTTATTAGAATATCTAACGACTCAAGTGCTTTTACTGTACTTATTGTTCTAGGAATATTCAGGGTTGGTTTGACCGAGCAGGTAATACAACAACTTGTTCGGAAAGTCGAGTTCAGGTAAAGTATTTAAATATTTTTGACATGAAAGAGATTAAAAGGGACCTTGAAGTTTTCCGACATTGAATGGTATATTGAACATCTGTAAAGTCTTTCTAGGGCCCGAAATACCCAAATCTTATCATAAAACTGGACAGGCTTTTGCAGGTAGAAAAGAGTCGTTGCACGAAAGTTACAAAGTTAAATATTTCTGAAAATGGTTTATTTCAAATGCAAAATAATCATTTTACAAGTGCTCCTATACAGGATGTCCCAATTTCATAAAATTAAATTGATTAGAAATTTTCTTCAAACATTTAAACATTGATGAACTTCTTTCTCAAAAAAAAGTGCAAAATTTAGAAAATATATAGAAGAAAAAAATAATTGATATTCTGAATAGAAAGTCTGTAAAGTACTCACGTATGACTCAGAATTAATGTCGTCAAAAACAAATGAAAACCAACAAAAACATCAATTATCATTTTATCGATTTGGACGCTGCGCTAAACGTAATGTAATGAGTTTGTAATTACTGAAATTATTCCCAAAGTTATGAACACAAAAGTTCTCAAGAAGAACTATATTTCTAAAATGTAGCTAATTTAAGAGTAACGAATCTAAAATACAAGCCAAGATGAAAACAAAAATGTTACTTTCTGAAAACACGATTAATTTGAAATAAAATTAAAAAAAAAATGTAACGACAAAAAATTTCATCTGCCGTCTCCGCCTATACCGCAATTGACACAAAATCTCCCACCCCCAAAATTGGCTACTTACATAAATATACGCAGACCAATCAATCATCTTATGAAAAAGAACAGACGTTGGTGAGTCAGTCGGATCAGACATGTCTTTCAAGGTTTCACAAAAACTACTTGACTCCGGAATGAGCCCAATATCCCCGTTCAACCTATTATCAAACAAATAAGTTAAAAAAACACCTCAAAAAACCGCGTTATGCTTACTCTCTTTCATCTTCCCACTCATTGAAAAACCCCCTATTGTTGTCACCTAAACTCGATCGATCATCGGACTAAAACAAACCCATGCATTAACAAAGTCAAAAATCGCATTTCCAAAAAAAAACCCACCTCTCCATAGTCGTGATACGTCGAAAAGTGCTCCTCTAAATTTAACAGACTCGTATCCATATTTGCGGTCAATAACACCACCACTGCACCAAGTCGTTCTTACAGCCAAACTGTGCCAAAATGGGCAACTACCATCAAGTTCTATCCACAAAACGTCCCTCCGAACACTAATTCCACGGAATTGTCCACTTTTTTTACGTAATATTCGCTTTTAATAGTACGCACGGTTTATAGGTTAGGAACACCAGCTTACATATTTTTATTTACACCTTTTGTTTTTAACAGTACACTTGGATTATTTATACACGGATCGACGCAACGTTAGTTCCCGCACAGTCTGCACATGTTTGCCGCGTTGTTTAGCACAAACTTTTCGAAATTTTGGTAGGAAATGCTCACATAAATACACGTGAGCAACTAACCATACCGCAAATTTCACCAAATCGGCAAATGTCGCCTCCACGTGATCGTGAACATTGATTCCTACCGACTGAGTTGGCGGCAGGGATGTACAACTATTTATCGGTAGATGGCATGGGGGCGGGCAGATTTTTGACAGGTTGGTTGAAATTCTTCTAATTGGCGCAGGTAGAAAGTTTTAGGGGGGGTGGAACAGGACGACAGGACGAGGGAGAGGGTGTGGGAGGATAAGGCGCCGAAAAGCAGCTTTCAAACGTTCCGGGAACACAGGTAACAATTGAATTAATATTCATCAATTTAAAAAAATGTCGTGTTATGCTGGAACATGAATGACAATAACTAAAAAGTTGAAAAGTTGTTTGAAAAATTACTACAGTCACGAAATACTAAATTTAGTACGTAAATTTAGAGATTTTGCATACATTCTTGGAAAATTTTGACACACTTGCTTTTGAAATTGTTTGCACAGCTGCCAAGAATAGTAGATTGTTTTATTAGGATTAAAAGTGCCATTTTTTGCGACGAGCAAATTTTGCATTTGCGAGGCGGAGCGAAGCGAAGCCGAGCGGATGCAAAATTGCGAGTCAAAAACTGACTTTTAATCCGAATGAAACATACTACTTTTTCGCCAGCCAAAAAGTAAATCTCAAAAATACAAAATATTGATAACAATAATATCGAGCAGAAATGAATCAATCTGCAAAGTAGTCTGGTATCCACGTCGTCAAGGCTTTTTTTGTTTGCTTACATACCATTGTTTTGTGAAAACGTTTGCAGTGTTAATAATGAATCCTGAAGAAGAGTTACCTCCCGATGTGCTAGAAGAAGCACAAAACGTGGTACTGAACTTGTTACCAACAAAATCGCGCGAAGTGTATGAGTGCGCGTATACCCGCTTCATCAAATGGTGCGAAGGGAAAAAGATTCAAACTTATTCTGAGAACGTCCTATTGGTATATTTTTCCGAATTGGCTACAAAAATGAAGTCATCCACACTGTGGTCGCACTATTCTATGGTGAAAGCAACTTTAAATATAAAAAATGGCATAGAAATCGGAAAGTATTCAAAATTAAAAGCGTTTATAAAGAAACAAGGAGAAGGATACGTTCCAAAGAAATCAAGGGTTTTAACTAATGAACAAATAGAAGTTTTCTTAGACACGGCTCCGGATTTCAAATTCCTGATGATGAAAGTATGTTTATAACCTAATGAAGAGCTTATATTTATTTTACGAATTTTTTTCAGATTGTTGTAATCTTTGGCGTTAGCGGAGCTTGTCGGTGTCACGAACTATTACAAATAAAAACTGAAGATATTGAAAATATTAAAGCAGGTTTATTGGTAAAAATTCCTGATACCAAAACGAAAAAACCCAGATCATTTACGGTTATGGGGGAAAAGTATTTGAAATTTTTTTCGTTTGGAAGAACCAGGTACAAGTAGTGAAACCACAAGTAAAATACATGAAGACGCAACGAATAGGAATGTGAGGGAAGTAAACCTAGAAGAATCAGGTACAAGTAGTGGAACTACGAATAGAATGATCACACGTGAAGACGGAATAAGTAGGAATGTGGGAGCAGTAAACCTGAATTTTGACACTGTGACCAACCAGACAGCAGGAGCGGTAGAAGTGTTAGCGCAAAATATTATTACTGACCGCATGAAAAATGATAATAGTGACGGAAAATCTTTAATCCAAATCAATCGCAGTTGTTCTTATTGTACATTCAATATTAATTTTAAAATTTAAATAATTAATAACAATGTAAGTTAATAATAAAATTGGAAAATATTAATAGCATTTCATTCTCAAAATAAAACAATTGAAAACTTTTTAAGGCTAGGATGAAAAAAAAAAATTAATCCTAGGATTAAAAAGGCAAAAATGACGTTGTTACTTTAGTAACGCAACTTTTTTTTACTCTCACAAAAACGTCAAGTTTTCCGTCCAAAATTGACGTTAAAAGTGACATCTTTTAAGACGGCTGGCGAAAAAAGACATTTTTTCGTGTCAGAATATCTTGTTAAATGCAACTTTTTTTTATAATAATTACTCATAATAACATTAAATCAATGTTTTTTCGTATCTGGCCCAGAAACATTTCTGTAATAATTATATCATAGCAACGTATTTTCCAAGTTACTTTCCAATCTCAAAGTGAAACAATCTATCAACATTGCATATAAAAGAACACAGTGAATCTATCATAAGTAAACAACGCTACTATAGTATATTATTAGCCAAGGTTGCAGATCCAAGCATTCTAGACCGAGCGCAAATTAGAACCCGAGACGCGCAGCGTCGAGGGCTCTGAAGCGCAAGGTCTAGAAGTGGCTTTGCAACCGTGGTTAATATACTATTTTTTTCACTAGTAGAAACCATAAGACAATAAACTGAAAAAATAAACGTTCAATTTTTTGACGTTTTTTGATTTCTAGTCAAACTTAATCTAAATCTTCAACACAAAGAAAACCGTTTATACTTGTCGCTGAGTTAATCATTTTACCTTCTACCGTCTACCAACTATCATGCGTATACTCAAGTAATGTTTGTAGCACACATTTGTTCATTTTTTAAGAAATAATCACATCAAACATTGCGTACATAACCTCAATTTTTCTTTTTGAACCGGTGGTCGCAAAAGTTGAATTTGCTACCACTAAATGAGTCGACATTTGCATGCGTCCCGGCTGCTAGTGAAAAAAATTATTTTTTGGTGGATAATGACTACTTAATACCAAATTATTTCTTCGTTAAGATGTAGTAAGTGTGTTTGCGCTTTAATACCTAAATAAAACAAAATTGTTATTGTCCTTAATTTTCAAGTTGAGTGATAAGAACAAATTCGTTTAAGAAATTGACAAATATATTATGATCATTTCTTAAAAATGTAATTGAATCAATTGACCCCAAATTGTTCATTGTTTGTTGTCAAGTTTCAATATTTTCTTCCAAAATAGAAAATGCTTTTTCCTGGAATTAAAAATAAAATGAGGTTTGAATTATGTTTTGTCGGCAACTTAATGATGTTAATCTATGATAGCTATTCTTATAGTAAAGTTAACAAAAATGTAACTTCCTTGGTATTTTCTTAAACGACAATTTTGTTATTTGAAAAAGCTTATTAACAATTTCTATATTCTATAAAATTCGAAATATCTACCCCATCTCTATCACTGACAAAATTTAAACTTTTAGCGCTCTTGATCGATGTAGGGTCTTAATTTCCTGGTAAAATCATGAACGTCCGTTTACACCGTACCCATGAAATGTACATATTTAATATAGGATTTGAAACAAAAGTAAATAACTTTTATGTAAGCTAAAATAACATGAGAATATCCGTGATTTTTAGTAAACTTGTTGTTCTGAATTTATTTTCTGCTAACATGAGTTTATGGTTGTTATAAGATAAAAACATACTTATATGAGACAATAATATTGATACCTAATACTATAATATTAGGTATTCCAGTTTGATATTGCCTTTTTTCGGAAATTAAATTTTAATTTTTTTAGCGAATTGTGTCGCTAGAAATTTTTTTCTTACTTGCCTTAGATATACTTTTTCGACAATCTTGGAGTGTCCAGTTTATCACTTGTTCACCACCATCTTATTTTTATACTCCTATTTTTTTAAATTACTGTTTAATCATCTTCCAGATAGGTTTAATTTTTTTTTTAATGATGGAAACATTAAAGCGGAAAAAGTGATGACCTATTTAGATGGCCACAATTTAATTTTCAGAGCATTGTATCAGAAAATTTCGTATCAGTATTACACCACTAAAAAATAAAAACGTGCTCCATTCAACGTACCTATAAAACATACCTCTTTCTCTTAACAAAAAACTCATTTTCAGAAAAATCAAAGACCTGACTCATTTTAAACGGCTTTTCGAGTTATAGTGAACCAAGAGCTATAAGGTTATATGGCCATCATAAAATCATCCCATTGTGTCGAAGTTAAGTTGTTTACAATAGAAAAGGTTTTAGGGTCGTAAATAACGTGTCCACTGCAGCTCGACCGGCTCTTGTGGTTTCGTTCAGGGGCGGCTTTCACTAAATATGAAAATCCACCACTCCACTATTTCTTTACTACCTGCAGCCGCTGAGGGTTCCGAAATAACCACTCGCTTTGAAAGCCGGCCCTGTTAAATATGAGCAAGAAATGTTTAGAAGATGATTTATTGCCAGCCGGTAAGCTTAGTGCGAACCACACAAAGGGGGTATTTATTTGCGGTCAACTATTTTTATGATGGCCATATAACCTTATAACTCTTGGTTCACTATAATTTACTTATCTTTCAAGCTTTTATAATTTCAGACAACTAATAAGATACTTTCTACGAAAACTACAGTGACTGGCTGACAGCTTTACAAAAGGTCTTCATCTTCTTCAGAAAATTATAATCCCTCATAAAGTAATTACCGAGTTTGTTTAGGCGAATTTTGAAGGGGTGCAGTAAACATCTGAATCTTAAACTTAATACTATTGTCATGTATTAGTCACAGGTGTTTCAATTCTCCGAAAACATGGTAAATAAAGTTTGTCTAGAATTATAAGAATTTTATGGACCCCCAAAGTTAATTCGTTTTACAGCCCTGTTGTCAATTTTACTGTACAGCTGAAGAGCGTGGTGAACTCAGGTACAGAAAACATCGGCTTTCTCCTGACAGGCTCTTTACCTGTACAATAGAATTGACGACAGGGTTGTAAAACCCATTAACGTTGGGAGTCCATAAAATTCTTATAATTCTAGACAAACTCTACCATCGTTTGGCAAAATGTTTACTGGATAATTACCATAAAGATTTAAATCTGTAAATTAAGATTACCCTTGCTGTACGTTGCTGATATGAAACATTTTTCTTTAGTCAAAAATAAGCACGCTAAGAAAAACACAATAATAATAATTGAAATTTAATAGCCTTTTAATTAATGTCTTGGGCTTTTTAATTCAAGTCCTATCAACAGTCAATAACTTTTTTCTACGACCAATTCACGGTTTATAAAATGTTGGATGCCAAAAAATGAAAGATGTGATGTTATTTTGATCGAATTATGACAGTTCCCACACACCGTTT